TAGAATACAGCTGCTTTGCACCAAGTTATTTATATATGTCAGCCAAATTGAGTTCATAAGAATAATGTTCAAATACAATGGAAAGCTGCTACTCTGAATTTACAAATGATGATCAAGGGTATCTGCAATATAATAGTACGGGATTTCTGATTTCAAACAGGAAAAACTAATGCATGCCACAATAAACACAGAGAACTATCAAACTTTTGAAAGGATTCAAAGGAAAGCAAACATAACTGAAACAGAAAATTCAAGACAATTTGTAATCCAAAGGTACTCTGTCCCTTTGAAGAGTCCCTATTCAAAAGAACAGAATAAATCTCTAGCTTTCAGATAAAATGAATTCTTTCAAACTGCCAATTTTTAAAAACCAAAATCAACTTTATGGACCTTAAAATACTTCTCAAAAACAAAGCATTTTCTCCCTTTCCCATTTAGGGCATGTGAGTATCACTTCAAGCACCATGTCCTTTCTTAAAATGCAAATAAGCAGCTTACACTAGGGGATACAGTTAACATTCTAATTTGAAGCAACTAGGAAAATGCTTATCATATTCTGCTGTTTCACCTGAACAAGCTGTTAATAAGTTATCCCTTCCACTTCTCCTGTAAGGTGTTCCTTGTGCCTATGTGAAGGCACCTGTAATATGGGCATGTTAAGGACTGCTACTAAAAGAACTTCGATAGTAGTTGGCCATATATTTGCAATATACACACAAAATCCTTCTCAAATCTGCCTTGGCAACCTCCTTAGTAATAAGTAAAGCGAAAAAAATGCATACATACACATAAATACAACTGACCTATCATTCACTAAATGGAAAAATTAGCTTGACAGACTTTACCCAGATTTCAACTGAGAGCTACTAAGTAGGTCTGGAATCCTGCAAGAAAGTTCATCGCAAGAGTATGTGCGAAAGAGCACTGGAAGACCAGGAAACTTGTCCCACTCTGCCCTACCCAGCACGATGCTGTACAGGGTACACTACCTTGAATTCTCTGTGCATCACCTTCCTTAGCCATGAAGTGCAGCATTAGGGGAACTCTAACAAGTTTTATGGCTCTTCCACAGCTAATATTTATAACTCAACTTTAAATCTATTGAGTATCCACTTCACATACAGATGGCATCACAGGTGACAGTATCACCATTAAACACAGTTAGTCCTCTAAAGTTTAATATATAGTTAGGAAGATAAAACATCAAGCAGTGATTCAACTCAGACAAAACGTGGGCTAAAGTCTACTACTGGCAAAACCACTACATCCTTGCCCCTCAGCCCCAGCCTCTCAAACAACAGGCTTACTTTCTTAGTAATTCTCATTTGAACACCTTGTGTATTTTCCTAGCAAATGAGTCTTTTCATTTTCCCCAGATTAGTAAGATATACTGACTTAGAAATGTAAGTATCTGCAATAGCTAATACGTAAGTACAACACTGAAAACAGAACTGAAAAATACATCTATAAATCAAGAAGCATATATTAACTTATTCACTGAATATTTGAAGATTACACAGCAGAAGTAAATATGCATCTTATCTGATGAAAGACTATGAAGCTACAATGAAACATACAAGCAGTTGAAGCATTTAATTTGGCATTTGAAGCAACTGAAATGAAACAATTTTAACATCTGGGCATGTTAGAGCATGCCTATAATCCCTACTAGGGTGGCTGAGGCAGGAGGATCACAAATTTGAACCATAACCTGGAAAACTTAATGAAACTTCATCCAAAAAAAAAGACTGGGGATGTAGTTCAAGGGATGAGTGCCCCCGGACTCAAACTCCAGTGTCCCTAGAACAACTCCATTCTGAGGAACTTACTGTACTATATTATCCAAATTTGGCACTGTGACTGAAATCTCAAGACTAGGTACCAGGTAAGAGAACATACTAAAAGATAAAATGCTTTAGAATTAGAAAAGTTCAGAAGAGGTGAATTTTTATGCCTCCTTAAAAGTTGTTCTCAAGTGAAAATCACTTTCAAAAGTGTAGCAAGGGTTCTTGTGACTATTAAATGAATTAATACACATAAAGCACATACAACAGTGCCTGGCACGTAACAAGCGCTCACCAGTGTTAACTGGAAACTGAATGGAAGCCTCTCACGTGTTAAAAAAAAACATAATAAAATATCTGTTAAGATGTGTGAAACCAGGATTTAGAACTCTGATGCACAAGCTGAAATCTGGAGTTAAGAAACAATTGTAAATTATGCAAACATTTTAACTCCAATCTTTCACAAAAGTTATGTGCATTAACTTACATTAACTTAAAAATGCAAGTCAAATTACAAGACAAAACAAAATAAAAAGGATTTCCTGTTCTTGGACTTCGTTGTTTAACTTTAAAATGGTTTTAAATTTCACTTTTAATGGTTCAAATTTAATCACTTATATAAAAACAGGATCCTATCAAATCGTGGTAAATACACCATTAGCATACCGTTAACACCGTCTTATCATCCTAAGGACAAAATTTTGATCTAAATAGTGTAACATAGGAAAGTGCGCAGCTAGCCATCTTTTCACAAAAATATGCAAAGTAAAAGCCAAACTTCCACAAAAGCAATTAAATAGGTTCCTCTTTTAAAGAAGTCCAAATAGTTGGAAATTTCCATGTTTACATCAAAAGCTTCAGTTTTAAAAACCCTAACTTCCTACTTTGCACAAGAGACCATACTAAGTGCATTTGTCCCATAAGTTTAACCAACACCTAAGTTTGCAGTGATTCCGAAGCCTATTCTTTCTAGTGCTAGCGATCTTCTGAATGCAATGTAAATATTAAATGTTTATACCCAAACCAGCACCTAACAGTTCACTCTAATATTTGCTAAATGAATGAAACCTTATCTCTGATATACACAACTTAAAACTAAGAATCAGTGGCAAGATTACTAAACTCAAAATTAGTTTTGGGATTGGAAAAAAAACTCACTGAACATTGGAAAAGCTGGGCATAGGAGACAAAAGTAAATCATAGTTTCATAAAACATTTTTACTAAACAATTTTAAATTCTACATACATACAACTGAAAACTAAAATCCTACCTACTTTTATCTAAACTCCAGTGTTGTCTCATTTATACATGCTCTCCTTCACTTTAAAATTAGAAGTTCAAGCCAGATATTTTGGGGTCAACCCCAAAAGAAAAGAAACAAATCCTCAAATACGAACATGTTTATCTACATAAGAAAAAACTTTTATAAATCTTATACATATAACTATGTATCCAGCCATATATCTTGAATGACTAAGGACTTAAGAAAAAGATACTTTAATAAAAATATTTTCACGTTTCAGGCAACCACCTCCTGGAATACTTGTACTCACTATACATATTTTGCAAATGACACCCAAGTTCTTAAGACTAATCTTCCTTTCCTAAGCCATCTTTATTGCATTTATCCATCTTTGGCTTTCCCAACTTTTTAAGTGACTACAGAACCTAATTCAACAAATGAGTTTCTACCAAAACCAAGACGAAGTGGTTATCCAGTGATTTACAGTTTTACTAAAAAGATATGTGACCACGTTTTACCATATATGGAGTACTTGTCTAAACTGATGCCTTGGCACATCATTTTATCCCTTTAGCCTCAAGATGAACTAAATACAGTTCAAAGTGTTAACATTTCATTAGTACTAGAAATTAATATCGACCCATAGATTTCATCGTTGAATTTCTATTCGGTAACTATCAATTGACAACCATTGTGCATTCAACCAAAGTACTACACTGGCGAAATGAGCTTTATCTTCATGACATTATTTTGATTCAGAAATGTGAGCATTCCAGCTTTGACTTATGGGTAAGCATTTCCTCTGCTTTCACAAGATAAACAGTAAATACAGAGCCTAGAAAAACCTGGTCCCAAAGAAACTCGGTTATCTCTAACCTAACTCTAGATTCCCGGGAAATCCCAAACAAGGGATGATCCCCGCCAGGGCGTCGGGGTTATCTCAGCCACCAGCGAGACTGCAACTTTGGGCTCCGAAGGGCCCCACTAGCATCATGGCTGATGCAGACCGATGCGCAGGAGGAGGAGGTGGACGAGGAAGAGGCTGGTTTGTTTACTTGCAGCCCGAGCCGCCGCCGCCGCCAGCAGCGACAGCATCCGAAGATCAGCCAAACCCAGCATCTTCCGCACATTTCTATTCTTAGCACACAACTCCCAAGCGGATCAAAACCCCACTACTATTAAAAACACAGACAAGCTCGTTACCCACCTCCCACACGCACACCCCCACCCCGCCGCGCCGTCTCCCCCGGAGGGCGGCGGCGGGGCGGGGTGGGAGAAGGAGACCCCGGGGACGCCGGTGCATCCTCGCCGCACCCCACCCGGCGCGCGCAGACAACCCAGCAGCGCCCGGCGCGGCAGACGGCCCCTCCCCCCTCAAACGCCGACCCCGGCGCCACGCGCGTTATGTAACCTCGCCGCCACCCCCGGCCCGCCCGCCTGGCGCCCCCTCCCCAGGCCGCGCGCCCCGGAAGGACCGAGGCCCGGGGTGCACACAGCCAGGAGGCGCAGGGCCGGGGCAGCCCAGACGCCCGTGGGACCGCTAGGCCGGGGACTCCCCTCCCCCGGCCCCCCGCGCGCCACCGCCCCCCAGTTTCCCCCGGAAAGTGAGGGGGTGCCGGTGTCCTCCGCGCCGCGCGGGGCATCCCCCGGCCTCCCCACCCACACCCACACCCACACTCGAAGCCTTCGGCGACCCAGCCCCCGCCCACGCCCCCGGCGCACTGACAACCAGAGGCCCCCGCCTC